AGAACAAGAGCAAGAAGATGACCTAACAGGGAAAATAAAAAAAATCTGTAGCCCTTTAATGGGCAGAGAAGAGTCAAATACGTTGAAAATAGACAAAGTATATAGGGTTAGACGCCCAAAAGGAATACCAGTAGATAGCTCAAGAGACATGATTGTAAGGTTCCTGGAATTGGGAGATAGAGAACGGATATGGAAAGGGACACGAGATCTTACTGAAATAAAATATGAAGAAACAGGCATACAAATTTTTGCAGATGTGGCACCAGAGACATTAGCAAGGAGGAGAGCCTTGAAGCCATTATTGGTCCATATGAGAGAGAAAAAAGTCAGATATAGTTTGGGGTTCCCAGCTTCATTGATCGGATGGAAAGATGTAAGATTGGCAAGGCTGAGATATCCAGAAGATTATAATGACTTTTGTGATAAAGGAGCAAGGTAAAAAGTACAGGGTCCAGGAGGGTGGCGACAGGTCCCAGGGAGGAGGAGTTAGGAGGTGGAGATGTGGACTGGGGGGGAGGTGGATCGGGGAGACGGGGAGGAGGGAGTTGACTGACTCACAGGGGGTTCTCTCTCCCGCCTTGTTTCTCTTTCTTTAGCTTTTGCCCCGCTCCACCTTCCCTCCCAATAGGTGAAAGTTAGATTGGGTTGGAATTATTATACCCCCAATGGCTTTTACCCCTACTGGGATAGTAGAGTGAGAGTGGGGGTTTAGGCTGACAGGGCAGGCTGGTGTCATGGGGAACATGGTACACAGCTATAATTTAATACCAGGAATGTCATCTATCCAGGTAAATGGGGGGTGGTCATGTGCCGAGTTTCACCCTAAATTAGGAATTGCTAGAAAGGATCTTTTTAGATTTAGGTTTCCAAGGCTTAATGTAGGCCAGCGGGAGGGGGGGGCAAGGGGGTGAATGGGGGGGAAGGAAGAAGAGGGGGAAGGGGAAGAAGGGTAAAAACTATCTGTATTTAATTAGACATAAAATGAAGGTATTAGGTCAAAATAAGACAGGAGGATATGAATGAGTTTAAGTTTATGACCTATAATGTGAAAGGGTTTATCTCCTCAAAAAAGACATAAGATACTAAGGGAAGTCCATTAATACTCTATAGACATAGTATTTCTCTAAGAAACTCCTCTAACCAGAAATACAAACGTGAAACTATACTCAAAGCAATATCAAACCTGGTTTTAAGCTGATTCATCTGTAAAGGGGGCAAAAGGGGTAGCAATAGGGGTTTCAACAAATGTTAATTTTCACCTGGAGGACAGAATGGAAGACCCAGAAGGTCGGTACCTGTTCATCTGGGGAAGGTTACAGGGAAGGGAATGTACACTGGCCAATATATATTGTCCTAACAAAAATCCAGCAAGATTCCTAGAAGGGATAATAAGGAAACTGGTGGATTTTAAAAAGGGGAGCCTGGTCATGGCAGGGGATTATAATCTATGTTTGGACTCTAGATGGGACATGTCACCTGTAGCAAGGAGAGAGGGGGATAGGAGTCTTAAATCATTGAAGATGTTACTGTATAGACATCAGTTGGTTGATGTGTGGAGGATAAATCATGCTAGGGAAAGAGACTATACCTTCTTCTCCCATGCTCATGGTTCATATTCAAGATTGGATTATATAATGATTGAGCACAGACAGTTGGAGAATCTGAAAGGATCAAGCATAGAAGTTATGTCAATATCGGATCATGCCCCTGTCACAATGAGGTTACAAATATGGAGATGTGAAGATAAAAAACTTTCCTGGAAAGTGAATGAAATGCTTTTACAGGATCCTGAAGTTGAGAAGAGGCTAAAAAAGGAAATTGAACAATTTTTTGAGATAAATGAGACCGAGGGAATATCCGAGGCAACAGTTTGGGAGTCACATAAAGCTTTTATCAGAGGAATATTGATCTCCATAGGCATAGAAAAAAAGAAGGAAAGAGGAAAAAAAATTAAACAGGTCATTGAAGAACTACAAAAATTGGAACAAATACATAAAATTAGAAAGGGGATAGATAGATATCAGAGGATAATACTAAAAAGAGATGAGTTGAAAGAACTGATGGAACAGGACTCTAGGAGGATATTCAATAGAGTTGCTAAAGAAAGATACCAATGAGAGAATAGGCCAGGAAAACATCTAATGAGAAGACTCAGGAATAAGAAAGGCAGGAATTTCATAGAAAAAATTAGAGATGGGAAGGGAGAGAATATGTATATAACATCAGATATTGCCAGGAGGTTCTTTATAGAACCTTCTGGCAATATCTGATGTTTTGTAATGTAAATTACTATAGTGAACTGTATAATGTAAGTAGGGGAAAGTACAGGGGAAGTGAGGAGGAGATAAAAAGACAGAATTACCCAAGTGAGGTAGAGTTACCACGAATAGCACAGTAAAAATTGGAAAATCTTGAAAGTCCTATCACCCCAAAGGAAATTAACTTGGCCTTAAAAAAACCGTATGCAAAAGTCCTGGGCCAGATGGGTGTCAGGGATCGCGGCAACGATTGGCTCCGCGCATGCACGGAGAGGAGATCTACACTAGCCGGCGGGCACTAGGACCTGGATGGCGGTGGTCGCACATGCGCACTCGTGATCGCGGACGCTCGCCTGGAACCAATGGCAGGGCAGGGTGCAGTATTTAAACCTGCCCTGCACTTACACTCATTGCCGTATGGTCTTTGTTCCTGTGTTCCTGTATCCCTGCTATTTGAGATTCGTTGCTGACTTTGCCTGAACCTGATCTCTGCTGACTTCTCCTGCTCTGACCCCCTGGCTAGTTTGACCTCTCTTCTGGATATCCCTAAACCTGATCTGAACTACTGTTACCGACCCCGGCAAGTGACCTAACTACTCTCCTGCTTGCTGCCTTGTACTACACTGATCCCACTGTTACTGACCTGGCCCGTTTGACCACACTTACTACTCTGCCATCCATCCATCCCACTCGGACCCAGCCTTCCGCCTCTTCACGTCAGGTTCTCTACCTGCATATACCTCTGGCGGGTCCCTCTACCACAGGCGGGTGTACTCAGAGGCTGCGACCTGGTTCCTGTCTGCTCCAAGTCCATCCCCACCATCAGGGGCCCTGGTGAACAAGCAGACTGGGGCTTAGACTCCGTGCTCTGAGGAATCCTGTCCTGTGGACTGATAGAGGCACCGCCAGGCGGTTATTAACAATGGGTATACAGTAAGGTACTTAAAAAAGTTTTGAGATCTTCTTGTCCCTAAGATATGTAAATATATTAATGCGATAAGAGAGGGATCAGAAATGAGGGAAGAATCCCTTCAAGCTTACATCACGCTCATTTTGAAGGAAGGGAAGGATAGCTCTCAATGTGCAAGTTATAGGCCAATTTCATTGTTAAATATAGATACCAAACTGTATGCAAAGGTAGTGGCAACAAGGTTGAAGGACTTGATGCCTGAATGGGTACACATGGACCAGGTGGGCTTTGTACCAGGGAGAGAGGGGAACAATGGTTTGAGATCCTTGATATTGGTACAAAAAGCTAAAAAAGAAAAAACATCGGCAATATTATTGTCAATCGATGCAGAAAAGGCATTTGATAGGGTCAACTGGAAATATGTTTGACACATTGCAAAAGTTGGGGTCGGGACCTAAAATACAGAATTGGATAAAAGGATTATATAAGAACCCATCAGCGGCGGTAAAGGTAAATGGAACCTTCTCTCTATTTTTTAAAATGCATAATGGTACCAGGCAGGGATGCCCCCTCTCCTCCTTGTTGTTTGTGTTGTCACTAGAACCATTCATGGAGAGGGTTAGGAAAAGTAAGGATATAAGGGGGATAAGAGTAGGAGATACGGGACATAAAGTAGCTGATAAAGTAGATGATATGTTGTTCTATGTTGTCAATCCTAGAATAACATTACACAACTTAATGAAAGAATTAAAACATTATGGGGCAGTATCAAATTTAAAGATAAATCCTGTAAAATCAGAAATTCTAAATATTAACCTCTCAGTTATAGAAAAGAAAAAACTTACAAAAATTCTTCCCTTTTTCCTGGAGGAAAAACGAAATAGGATATCTCGGAATAAAATTAACGACATCGGTAAAAAGTTTATATCAAACAAATGACATCCCTCTGATAAATGAAATAAAGGATGAGTTGAAAAGATTAGTAAAAGGGGGGGGCCTCTTGGATTGGAAGAATTAATTTAGTTAAGATGGTGATACTTCCAAAAATATTGTACAAATTCAAAATGCTCCTGATTGCTCTACCGGGAGCTTTCTTTGCAATAATTAGAGAGATGATTTCCAAATGTATATGGGCAAATAAGAGACCAAGGATAAGTTATGAGGTTTTATGTAGCGCAAAAGGAAATGGAGGACTGGGATTACCAAATATGAAGAATTATTACACAGCTGTAATTTTGTTACACGTAGTAGATTGGTCATTTAACTCACAAGGGAAAAGTTGGGTAAAAATGGAAGTTGAAGTAAATCACAATTAGAGAAAATGATTTGGATACCTTATGAGTTCCGCTCATTGGATGTAGAAACAAGTGAACTGACTTGGATAGTACTGGAATTATGGGATAGAATACACAATAAGGAAAAATGGAAATTTAATTCACTGTTGATTCCACTAGAGCAGCGGTTCTCAACCTGGGGGTCGTGACCCCTTTGGGGGTCGAACGACGCTTTCACAGGGGTCGCCTAAGACCATCGGAAAACACAAATTTCCGATGGTGTTAGGAACCGAGACACCGCTGCTCTATCCGTCTCCAGGTGTGGGCGGGATGACATGCCACCCCTGTCATCTGGACACACCCTCGGGATCAATCCTTGCCGGTGATTGGCCGCCGGAACTGTAGCTCAGGAGAGGCACACAGGCGGCCAATCACCGGCGAGGAGGTGGAGCTTGGAGAGGAGGAGCCGAGCGGCACCGCGAAGATCGAGCGGGTGAAGAGGAGGAGAGCGGCCGGAGAAGGAAGACAGCTGACAGGTAAGTGTCTGTACCATGGGAGAGGGAGGGAGCGAGCGAGCCCAGGCTGGAGCAGGGGTCAGCAAGGTAAGTATCATTGGTGTCAGTGGGAGGAATAGTGCCCCATCATTGGATTCACTAATACCAATGATGAGGCACGATTCCTCCCCCCACTGACACCAACGATGAGGCACGATTCCTCCCCCCACTGACACCAACGATGGGGCACAATTCCTCCCCCCACGGACACCAACGATGGGGCACAATTCCTCCCCCCACTGACACCAACGATGGGGCACTATTCCTCCCCCCACTGACGCCAACGATGGGGCACTATTCCTCCCCCCACTGACGCCAACGATGGGGCACTATTCCTCCCCCCACTGACGCCAACGATGGGGCACTATTCCTCCCCCCACTGACACCAACGATGGGGCACTATTCCTCCCCCCACTGACACCAACGGTGGGGCACTATTCCTCCCCCCACTGACACCAACGATGGGGCACTATTCCTCCCCCCACTGACACCAACGATGGGGCACTATTCCTCCCCCCACTGACACCAACGATGGGGCACTATTCCTCCCCCCACTGACACCAACGATGGGGCACTATTCCTCCCCCCACTGACACCAACGATGGGGCACTATTCCTCCCCCCACTGACACCAACGATGGGGCACTATTCCTCCCCCCACTGACACCAACGATGGGGCACTATTCCTCCCCCCACTGACACCAACGATGGGGCACTATTCCTCCCCCCACTGACACCAACGATGGGGCACTATTCCTCCCACTGACACCAACGATGGGGCACTATTCCTCCCACTGACACCAATGTTGGGGCACTATTCCTCCCACTGACACCAATGCTGGGGCATTATTCCTCCCCCTGATACCAACGATGGGGCACTATTCCTCCCACTGACACCAGTGATGGGGCGCTATTCCTCCCACTGACACCAATGATGGGGCGCTATTCCTCCCACTGACACCAATGATGGGGCGCTATTCCTCCCACTGATACCAATGTTGGGGCGCTTTTCCTCCCACTGACACCAGTGATGGGACACTTTTCCTCCCACTGACATCAGTGATGGGACACTTTTCCTTCCACTGACACCAATGATGGGACACTTTTCCTCCCACTGACACCAGTGATGGGGCACTATTCCCCCCACTGACACCAATGATGGGGCACTATTCCTCCCACTGACACCAATGATTGGGCACTATTCCTCCCACTGACACCAATGATGGGGCACTATTCCTCCCACTGACACCAATGATGGGGCACTATTCCTCCCACTGACACCAATGATGGGGCACTATTCCTCCCACTGACACCAATGATGGGGCACTATTCCTCCCACAGACACCAATGATGGGGCACTATTCCTCCCACTGACACCAATGATGGGGCACTATTCCTCCCACTGACACCAATGATGGGGCACTATTCCTTCCACTGACACCTATGATGGGGCACTATTCCCCCCACTGACACCTATGACGGGCACTATTCCTCCCACTGACACCAATGACGTGGCACTATTCCTCCCACTGACACCAATGACGGGGCACTATTCCTCCCACTGACACCAATGACGGGGCACTATTCCTCCCACTGACACCAATGACGGGGCACTATTCCTCCCACTGACACCAATGACGGGGCACTATTCCTCCCACTGACACCAATGACGGGGCACTATTCCTCCCACTGACACCAATGACGGGGCACTATTCCTCCCACTGACACAAATGACGGGGCACTATTCCTCCCACTGACACCAATGACGGGGCACTATTCCCCCCACTGACACCAATGACGGGGCACTATTCCCCCCACTGACACATATGATGGGGCACTATTCCCCCCACTGACACCTATGATAGGGCACTATTCCTCCCACTGATACCAATGATGGGGCACTATTCCTCCCACTGACACCAATGATGGGGCACTATTCCTCCCACTGACACCAATGATGGGCACTATTCCCCCCACTGACACCTATGATGGGGCACTATTCCCCCCACTGACACCTATGATGGGGCACTATTCCTCCCACTGACTCCAATGATGGGGCACTATTCCTACCACTGACACCAATGATGGGGCACTATTCCTACCACTGATACCAATGATGGGGCATTAATCCTCCCATTGACATCAGTGATGGGACACTATTCCTCCCACTGACACCAATGACGTGGCACTACTCCTCCCACTGCAAAATTACAGTTATGAAGTAGCAACGAAAATAATTTTATGGTTGGGGGTCACCACAACATGAGGAACTGTATTAAGGGGTCACGGCATTAGAAAGGTTGAGAACCACTGCACTAGAGGGAACAGATTTTTTTTTCACCTGGAAATGTTAAAATTTGTGGGAGATGGATAAAAGATAAGAATACACGTTTGAAAGATATTATAAAAGGGGGGAGAATATGCACGTTTCAAAAGTTAAAAAAGAATAAGGATTTGTTTGTTAGGTTTGATGAATGGAGATTTAACCAGTTATATCATTTTGTTGCAAATTTACCACAACTATTGAGGGAAGTAGAGGAAATTAATCCATTTGAAAAACCAATGAATGTTGATGTAAGCCCAGAACATATCACTTCAAGGATATATAAGATCCTAATGGATCTAGAGGGTGTAGAGGCACCTGGGTATGTAGGAAAATGGGAAAAGGAATTAGAAATAGAAATGAACCCACAGCAAAGGAAAAATCAGCTTTAACTTAACACATAAGGTAACAAATATGTGTACAGTAAAAATGAACTATAAATGCTTAGCGAGATGGTATATAACACCTAGTGTTGTCCATAAACAGCACAGGGATATCCCCCCATGGTGTTGGAGAGGTTGTGGAGAGAAGGGCAATATGGAGCACATTTGGTGGAGCTGCCCGAAGATACAGAATTATTGGAGGGAAATAGCTTAACATATACAGGAAATAAGTGACGTAAATATTCAGGGAGATCCATGGAAATGTTTATTTTTATATACTTTCAAAGAGGGCTCAAAGTAATAAAATAAAGTATTGTATCATTTAATCAGTGCGGCAAAGGGTTTGATCCCAAAATTGTGGCTAGTGGCTGAGGTACCAAAGATGGTAGACTGGATAGAGAGAGTGGAGGATGTTGTTAGAATGGTGGAATGGAGATGTATAGAAGAGGATAAAGTGGGATTGTTTAAGAGAACATGGAGTTGCTGGACGAAATTTAAAACTTTGGAAACTTACATAGATTTAATTAGAGTAAATGAGGTAGTTTAGAAGTTATGGTGAAGTTATGTGGATTAATAAGATAAGGAGAATTGGATACAGATAGAGAAAAGAATATGAGGTCGAAGGGAGGGTGGGAGGGAAAGGGTAAGGGGTGGGAGGTAGTGGGTAACAGATTGTAATTTAAAAAAAAAGTATAACATGTAAGATGTATTGTGTTTTAATGCTGTTTGTATAATAACCAAATAAAAAAAAAAAAGGATTTCATGTTTTATCTCCATGGAGCACAAGTATGCAGTTGGCCATGCTAACTGCATACATGAGCTACATTCAGATGAAAAAAATGTTCAAGTTTTGACTGCAGGAGGCCAAATTATGCAGTTGGCCATGCTTAACTGCATATGTGAGCTACACTCAGATGAGAAACTTTTTTTCATGTTTCGTCTGCGTGGAGCACAAATATGCCAGTGTCTGTTGCTTAAAAAAATGCTTCAGTTTCAAAACACGCCTAGCAACATTTTACCGTGGTAGAGCATTTTTACAGCTGAAAAACTTCTAGTACTTGGTTTATTTTTCCTGCATGAAAACACCACTGCCAAAAAATGCTGATAAAAGCTATGTGTTCTTAAAGTTAAATGAAACATGGAGATCAGCAATAAGTGTACTTTGCATTGGATTTACTGTCATTGTTTAAAGAGGAGCTGCCTAAAATAAAGTCAAGGAGTGAATAAAGTCTACTCATCAGTTTTGCCTGTAGGCTCCCTCCAGCTGATCTTTTCCAAGACCTGACTTTCTATTACTCTTTCCATGCTGTGACTGTGAAAATAGGTAAATATATAGATCTTTCTTACACAGGTTAGTCAGAATACGTGTAAGGAGGTGGAATGAAGAATTTTTAACAGTAGTTAGGTTTTTTCTGGAATTCTACTTTTTGCCAAATAGTTTGCACATTACAGTAATTTTCTTAGGTCCATAGCATCCAGCAAAAGTATAACGTAATGCCTTGGAGCCCTGATGCAAACCGTACAGAGAGGTCTTCTGAAACCTCATTCCACACACTTTATGGATCATTCTGCCACTATGTTGCACTTTTTAACCACTTGCCGTCTGCCTGCTGTTTATAAACGGCAGGGTGGTGGCAGTCCAGGGGCGGGTTGCCGTTCATAAACGGCACCCGCCTTTTCTAGCTGTGCGTGTTCCCCGGGAGCGCGCAGAACCACGATCTGGTGCCCGCTGTGTCCTCCGGACACAGTGAAACACCGATCATCGGACGGGACCTCTGTACGAGGTCCCGATCATGTGATCACTGATTGGCGAATCAGTGATCACATGTAAAGTAGTAAGCAAGATGTCACTTGTGACATCATTGCTTACTACGTGTGAAATCTCTGAGTGATCACAGAGGTCACATGGTACAAGGCTATTCACAACAGCCTTGTACCATGTGAAAAGCTGTGACCAATCACAGCTCACTCAGTACTTCTCAATGACTGCAAGAATGCAGACAGAGAGAAAGAGAAATGATTGCTTTTACATCCTATATGGGTGTAAAAACAATCAGTGTAAAAAAAAAAAAAAAAAATCTTCATCACCCCCCACAAGTAGTACAGTGTCACCATGGTGACACTGTACTGCTAGGGTGACAGTATGTAAAAAAATAAATAAATAAATAATGATAATATAAAAAAATAAAATAAAAATGTTAATAAAAATGTTTAAAAATTATAATTTTTGGTTATAAACTAATTTGGATTTTTTTTTACTAAAAAAATAATGGAATAAATTTTGGCCAAGATTTATGATGAAATATCATTTATTTGCAAAAATTTTTATTAATAAAACCACTTTTTTTCAAAATTTTTGGACTTTTTAATTTACATAGTAAAAAAAAATAAAAA